CGACGCTCTCCTGCAGGCTCCACCCAAGTGTGTCATTCATACTTTGGTCACGTAAACGGTACAGATGAGGCATCCTCCCGGTGCCAGAGTTTGAGGCACTTGTTGTCCTCATGTGGCTTGTGCTCTCGTCTGAATCCCCGTCGCAGGTGGGGAAACCTTGGACGCCTCTTCAAATTCAGCTTCTCAGCTGTGACATCTGCCTACTGCCAAAGCAAGCACCACAGCACGGGGAAGACGGCTGCACGAGGAGATACTTGTTCCCTCTGTGGCCCGAGAGTCCAAGGTAAACGCATTCTCTCCACCCTTCTGCTTCTCGCCTTCCCCCGGGGGCCTCCTGGACCCAGCTCCTACAGGCTTCGATTATTAAAACTCACGGTGCTCAGACTCTTGGTAGGATTTCCGCTTCCCGATCTGAAACCTGGGCCCCGCTGCAGCGGAGGCAGCCTCGGGGACACACGCCCCTTGGCAACATGACAGCCCAGCTCCCCACTCTTCCCGCCCCCTTCCTCCATGCCCGCACCCCCCGTACCATCCCCTCCGCTGCTCTGATGCAGACCCGGGCTTCCCAAAGTGTGGGGTCGGAACCCTGGCAGGACCGGCACGCAGGACAGGATTGTTGGCAGAAAATGAACACGGTGTTAAACAGCATTAACTCGCGCCATGCGACTTATCCCCTTTTAAAGTCTGTCTCAATCTCCCGATTTCTTCAAGGAGAAAGTCTTGGTTTCATGCCAATATATCCCCCATACTCGAGAATCTCCCTTTTAACAAAGAGAGGGCAGGTTTCTGGCTCAGAGCCTCTGGTGACAGCTGCGTCACGCTGGAATTAAAGAGCATGATTTTGTTTTCATTGCATTCATTCACATAGTCCCCTCCTGCTTATGGGTACAGTGGTGATTTGCAATTGTCTTTTAAAATAAATTTATTCTAAACAAAACCAATCAATTGTTTAGAGAAAGACCCGCTCACTCGCTCATCCAACAGATATTTATAGAGCACTAACTATATGCAAGGTACCTCCCTAGACCCTTGGCATTTAGAGTTGTGAATAAAACAGACAAAAATTCCCACCCTGAGATGAATAGCAGAACAGGTGTTGTGCACAAATCTGGTAAAACAGTACCAGTCTTATGTGAATGTCTTTAGTTTGAGAGACAGCAGGGGCAGCAAGTACCTGTTCCCAGTGGAGGGGAAGTGACGTTGGCAGGGCTGGCGGGAGGGGGCCTGCACCTGAGATGTCCAAGGCCATTGCCTGGTAGACCACAATTGGACCTTCTGTTATTTTAACTTGAACTTTTAATAAGTGCAGAAATGTAGATCATTCTGAAGCAAGTATGCTTTTAGCAGCTGCCATCACTAACTTTTTAAACAACCTGGGGCAAGTCCTGCTGTCTCACTGGCCCTCAGCTTTTCCATCTGTACAATGGGCCCATGGCGTTGACTTCTGACTGTAATGGCTTTGACCTCTGACTGTAAAGCACTTGGGCTGGGGTGGGTCTGGTTAGAGGGAATTAACGCACATGTGTCTGAATTTTAAAAACCAACCAACCAACCCACATGGAAACCCTCCCATCCCGTCCCCAGCTTGAATTCAGCCTCTGCTCCTAAGGGGCCATAAGAAGGCAGAAGGGCTTGAACATACGATCAACTGAATGGGACTCTCTTTCCC